TCATGATATTCTCTCTTCCATGGAACATTTTGTTGACTTTGAAAAAAAATCTGTGATAACTTTTACCTTTTTAGCCGGCGTTGAAGTATTTTGTTGTGAATGCTGCTGAGAAGAGCTTGTACTGGCGGTTTCAGTATCACTGACGCTACATACGGATTCTTCTGTCATCTTATGCCTCGTATGCAAGTGTACTTGCAATCCCTTAGTAGATCGAGCGCTTATTTTGATGATAGAAGAACAACGTTTACACTGAGCAGAAAGACCATCTTCCGATCTTAGAAAGTGCTGCCATACAAATTTATTACTGTTGTATTCCTTATGAATGCCTTTAGCACTCATTTTTAATTTCCCGATTCCATCTTTACCTATAGTCAGTTGTTAATTAATTAATTATATTTAGATGGAATGTTGCTGTTCAAATATAAAAATAAACCGTTTATTTCAATTTAAATCGCATGTCACAAACTACGCACTAGTACGCATAGTACGTCACAAATTCACGAGTCACGACTGAAATAGTGCAAGCATTAGCGGAGTACAAAATCACGCGACAGATATTTTGGTGAATCCCGTACAGAGAAAAATTCCCATTCACTCGTCTCACACACAGATACGTTTTTCGATTAGGGGATCCCCCTATTATCGTACATTCTTGCCGTACATGACGTTATGCGAAATCAGACTGGAAAAAATAAAATCTTGCAAATCTTGCGGATCCCGCACGTGTTATCCCGCATTTATAATCACGCTTATTTCATACGGGATCCGCATTTGTGGGATTGCGGATCCGCGGGATTGCATTCCCTAGATGTAAGACTTGTTATTGCAGACCTCTAAAACAAACCAGACGGGCGGGGGTTCAAATTAACGGGGTGTCTGGATTAGACAATGTGAGACAAAACTGCGTATTATAAAATATATTATATAATTTAATATTAAAAATTTCGTACAACCGACTTCAATATAAATTATTAAGAATAACTCAAAAACAATTAGTCAGACTTTGATCAAATATATATGGGACCACATGTGAAGCACCAGCTTTCAAATGTAAAAAGTTCTTTATGACGTTCCTTCGGAGAGTACTATTCAGCAGTGGACTTGTGATAGGTTGTAATGATGATGATGATGATGATGATGATGATGATGATGATGAAATATATTTACTAGCGACCCCTCCAGATTGCCTGGGTGGTATCTATAATCTTTGACCGTACTTTTATATCAAGATGAAAGACAATTATCAAAGAACATTTATTTTATTAATTTTTCGATTAAAAAAACTCCCCAAGATTTTCGGGTAAATTATAGACTAAATATTCGCTTTCTTTACTCAAGTGCTAGACTGGCATTGCTTTATATTTGTTCGTGCAGTTTGAGACGAAAAAATAATATAATATTTATGATTAAATATTAAACCTATTGTCGTTATTTCAATATTTTAGAATTGAACTCTAAAATTTGTTTGAATTTTCAAGTGTCCTTGTAGCACAATATAAAAGCTGAGCTTGCAATATCATGTACTGAATTGCTTGTCTGTAGTCGATATTGTTGTAGATAGAATTCATATATTACGTGTCACTGAGCCGTGATTCTACGTATGGTAATTTATAAAAATATTTTTGTAAACATAACTACGCTATATTTGAGGAATGATCACGACTTTAATATCTTACACGTAAATGACAATAGTCTTATATTTGTCTAGTTACGTAACCTTAAAACAAAACTCAAGTTCCCTTTATAAAAACTGCTATCTTGACAATCAGAACACAGGGGGTTTTATTTTAGAATCTAAAGTTTCAGGCGAGCCGTATGCTCGTTTGCTCCCTCTCCTAAATAAAAAATATGTTTTTTTACATATGACTGTTTAAGCCATTGTTTGACTACAATCACAATCCCTCCTGGTAGTAAGTGGTGATGAAGCCCTAGCCTTAATCGCAATGCCTTACCTAGAGTAACAAACGTCTATTCACTCCTGCCTTGAAGACGCCCAGTTTATCTCATTGTTTTAAATATTATCTTTATTGGTCAATTAAAGGCTATTCTATTTTAAAATACCATTATTTTTAATAATGGTTAGTTGTAACTACTTGTTGTTTGTACTTAATTTTATTATTTTTAAATTGAAAGTGTTTGATTTTTAGTAAGTTACTGCTAAACAAAGTAGGTATTTGATTTTTGGATTTCCTTATAAAGAATTAGTAGTCCATGCTCCATGTCTCTATTTATACGAGATACAAGGGGCACACTGAAATGATCGGGAATAAGAAAAACCACATGCACGGTATAGCTAAATTGTATTTTATTGTTTTTCGAAGTATTCTCCGTTCAACTTAATGCACTTTTCCATTCATGCAAACCAATCATTAATACAGTAATTCCAGTCTGAAGTTGATGTTGACAAAATGGCTGATTTGTATGTTTCCACAGCTGCTTCGGGATCTTCAAACCGTTGACCGCGTAATAAATCTTTCATTCTAGGGAATGTAAAGAAATCGTTTGGGCTCAGGTCAGGACTGTACGGAGGATAGCTCATCAGCTCAACGTTTTCCTGTTTCAAAAAATCTTTTGTCTTTCGAGCCGTATGGGAGCTCGCATTATCGTGATGTAAGATGATACGATGTTTCGGTTTATTTTTTCGGAGTTCGGCTATCATTTCTGGCAAATAAACCGTGATATACTCAGCGGTAACCGTTCTGCGTTCCTGTAAAGGAATTGTAGCAACATCCCCCTTTTTCGAGACAAACGTAGCGACCATTTTCTTTGACACGCTGCGGGAGCGAACCACTTTCGTTGGTTTGACCTCGTCTTCGATGACCCAAACTGCTGACTGATGTTTTCTTTCAGGTTCGTATGTATAAATCCATGATTCGTCACCTGAGATGATATTATAAACGGCATTTGACTTTCCTCCGTTGAAGCGTTGCAGAGTATTCCGGCACCAATCTACACGAGCCGCCTTTTGTTCTTCGGACAAATTGTGGGGAACCCAGAGGGAAACTAGCTTTCTTACACACAGCTCATTATGTAAAATCGACTGAATTGCAGTTATTCCGGTACTGATAACAGCCCGAATCTGCTCGTATGTCACATGACGGTCATCTAATATAATATTTCGCGCAGCTGCGATGTTTTCAGGCGTGACCGCTGTTCTTGGTCGACCTGTAGTAGAAACAGTGCTGAGCGACACACGACCGCGTCCGAACTTGACATACCAGCGGTATATTGTCGTTTGACTCGGTGCTCCAACATCATAAATCGAAACAAGTTCGCTAAGAAATTTATCTTGAGATAAGTCGCGACGAAAATTGTGATAAATTATGGCATGGAAATGTTAACGCGTGAGCTTCATTTTGGTTAACGACGTGTCAACTTTAAACCAACATAGTTTTTGTTTTTAAACATTTTTTTTAATTGTTTGAATGTCATTAAGATTCTAAGAGGCCAGTATTCAAATTCTAAAAAAGGTTTTATTGTAACTCAATCCGAAATATTCTATTCCCGATCATTTCAGTGTGCCCCCGTACCCATAGTAACAATGTTAAAAGTATTATATTATAGTCAATGATTATAAGTCAAACAAAGAATACTTTTATGTACGTCTAATCCGGAAGTTGTAGGTAGCCGTTAACCGTAATGACCTTTACAGTTTTAAAATTTTGGCCTGTGGCTACAAGCTGAAATAGAAGTTGTTCCGAATCGGGAGATTGCCAAATAAGGCTAAAAAGAAACCGTGATTTTTATTTTTGGACAAATACATATTCTGATACCTTTTAACACCCAAGTGGCGATTAAGATTCTTTTGATATGCTTTTGCTATTAAAGAACGAGTACCTATGTTCTGACGATGATTATTTATAATTATCATGTCATAACTGTCATAATTCTTGCCTAGCAATTACATTTTATAATATATAGTAAAAAATTTATAAGTAAAAGCGGAATAGATAGATATACAGATATACTAGTCGTTATTACACGGACTTCCTAATATATTTAGCAAATAAGGTAACTTCATACAAACTATAAAAGTACGAAATTTGCTTATCATCAGAATTTCATATAACGAGTAGTGCATATATGAAATATGATCCTATAGCTTATATTATAAAATGACTGTATACGTAACTACGTAATGAAAGAGCCGTTATCAAAATGGCGACTGCCCGGCGTACGACGCCTGTGACGCGAGCGTGCTGCGGTCGTTGACGCTGACGATCGTTGGCGTATCGCGTGTATTGATTTCGTCTATTGTAGAAACTATTATCGCCATCTAGCGGCGACAGCGTGAAAATATTTTTAGAGATTTCTTAGGTAGATGGCGTTGTTACGCATGATCTTTATTTTTTATTTTATTGTATTTTGTTACTGCGTCTGTCTAACATTTTTAATGAGACTAATTCTATTTCTTTCAATTCTAAAAGAATACTTGCTATCAACATTACAAATACTCCCGTTGTCCTAAGCTGAAATGCTTGTGATAAGAGGGCGTCTTGAGTCCTGATAGTGGTTTTGTACTGATCCGTGATATGTCCGTGATCGATTTGATGAAAATTCAGGAGAGTTATCCTCAAGGAGAGCAGTATAATCCATTTGAAATGGCCTGACCCCTTTGGGATCAACACACCTCGGGGGAAGCCAGTTAACCAAGCTGTCTAAAATAAGTTGGTTCTTCTCAGACGTTCCCAGCGCGACACTGCACACATGATACCGTACATATTAATACTAAGTAAACAGATGAATTCTTTTAATTTGATTGCACTAATTTTTTAAAATAATGTAAGCGAAATCCAGAATCCAGATTCTAAAACCATATTTAAATTTTAAAATTCGAACCCAAGACCGAAGAGCTCAGCAGGAGGAGGGTACGCTGAGGCACATGATAAACATAAACGGAAAATTACTGCTAGGACTTTTTATTAAATAATATAAAACGCAAAGAATTTTGTTATTTTAATCCTCTACATGTATTAAAAATATGGTTTTCTCCTTCGCAGTGCAAAGATTTCGAGAAAGTTGGTGCAACGATAGCCGTAACGCCATGTGACGTGGTGGAGGAAGCTGATATCACCTTCTCTTGCGTCGCGGATCCACAGGCTGCTAAGGAGGTGAGATCTTGAGACTTAGAGTTAGCAACAGGGAAAACTTAGCGATCATATTCCATAAGGTAGGAAGCTAAAAAGAGAAGGAAAACTAATAGTATTTACTGTAGAGTTTATAGTCTAAATGTCGCTTATCCGCGTCTGTTTAAGTACACTCGCACTAAGCTGCGGCTAGCTTGTAATAAATAAAAACTTGATAAAGTCTTCAAGTTATATTTTGTAAGTAAGCAAGATTTTCGAACTTTTATAATGCAATTGTATAATGCACATTGGTATAACAAAAAGGCTTATTTTTTTTTCTTTAAAAAAACGTTACCCCCACACTAGGATTTTCTCCTGTGTCGTGGAGGCAGTTTACAAACATAAATTGCACAAGGACAAACATCCAGACCCGGAACAATTATTTGTAGACCATACAAATACTTGTTTCGTGCGGGATTCGAACCCGCGGCCCCCAGCGCAACAACTGATTGCTAAGCCACTGCGCCACGGCTGCAGTTAGATAGTGTAGTGGCGGTGTAGGAATATTCACTAGCCCATATCGTTTCGTAGCTGTAGTAACAGGCGACAGAGAGAATCAAACTAGAAGATGGATGGCAGCGTTTTCCTTATAACAACTACAAAACAAAAAAACTCGACTTACCAACCCGCCAGCCAAGCGTGTTAACTATGGCAAATATCCCCCCTATGAGGCAATCTATTGGGAAGGTCTATGTTCAGCAGTGAGTGGACATAGGCTGTAATGGTTGTATGTATAGACGATAATCTACCAGGAGCACATGACCCACTGAGAGGTGAAATTTTCATATCAACAGTAACATTACAACTATGGCAAATATCGCCCCTATGAGGCAATCTATGGGGAGGCCTGTGTTCAGCAGTGGACGTTAATAGACTGTAATGGATGTATGTATAGAAGATAATCTACCAGGAGCACATAACCCACTGAGGGGTGAAATTATCAAATCAACAGTAACATTACAACTATGGCAAATATCCCCCTTATGAAGCCATTTATGGGGAGGCCTGTGTTCAGCAGTGGACTTTAATAAGCTGTAGTGAGTAAATATGGTGATTTGACAGTGACGTGTAACTAAGTTGATCTAGAAGGCGAAGAATCACTTGCTCAAAGAATAACTTCGTAAAATAGTTTTTCTGTATTTCATAATCATAGTTAAATACCTTGCAGTGAGTTTGGACATAGTAGTTGATATTGCAGAGACAGGAGAGTATTCATGGTTGTGACTAACCGAACAATTACTTATGATACTTATGTTCGATCCTGGGCCGACAGCATCCAGCGGCTTTTTGTATTTCATACCTGGTCGTCACGCTGTCTAGTGGGGGACCGCCCTAAACTTCAACTCCCGGTACTAGACTGCCACTCTTCACCTAGACAAACTCTGAGCAAAGCCTTCATCATAGCAGGCTGATCCACCTTAAAATTTCTCATAGAGCCAGTAATGAAAGACCACGTCCAGGATGTATTTTGTGTCTAATATCACTGGCAACACGCACAGGTGGTCGTACTGCGCGTTTCCAAGTTTTGAGGTTTAGGTTAGTCCCCGAACGCTGCCTCGCGAAAATAAATCAATCGATGCAAAACCAATCAAGCTAATGACGTTAACTGGTTCTGTGAACTAAAAAATTATATAAAAGGTCAACGGGGCTTGGCGCTGTCACTTCGTATTAAATATGCGTTGACCTTTCCACGGGCAACCTTTTAAACGGAATTAGAGTGAAATGACTTAGTTGCTGAGTAAGAATTTGCGTTACACATCATGTTACTTTATTTTTGTCCTTTAAGTCTATTGTTTTTTTTTTTAGTTAATTGTTGGAAGTAATTACTTTTACTTAAAAAAAAGCATTGCACTTTGCCTTAGTTATTCTAATCTATATGTTATTGTAATTTTTGATTCTATTTTCTTATTTCTAATAAAGCTAGTTTTCCTTCCTCTAGAACCTCTCCTGGTTGGTTGTTACTTTTCTTTTAAAAACTTTGATTTCATAAATTGTGTTTCTAATTTATTATCATGAAGTGTAGTGTAGTATGGAGAACCATCTCATATGGGGGAAAATTGAAAAAGTATCCAACTGTATACTGAAAATTGAGGTTGCAAAACCTACCACCATAGCGCTGCCGTCTGAAAAACTACGATATGTACATAGCTATTGTAGACGGAGTGAAGTGTGCTGAGTTCAAATATTTATAAAAATTTTCATGACTAGAGTAGTTAGTAAAATGCCAGTATACAAAACCTCAACTATTTACGTAGTTTAAAATAATTAAGTAAATATAACCAAAAAACCGTTGCGAGAACACGTGATTTTATTAGTGCGACTTTTTAAATAATTATTATTAATTTTTATATGTATTTTATTGTGTTGATAGTTATAAAACATTATAAAATAATTGAACAATAATGAAAAAAAAGATTGTATCGTGAAAAGTTGTCCAAGTGGACGTAAACTAAAAAACTTTAAAAAATAGTTCGATTTAGCTTTTGGGGTTTTTTTCGACCTACTGTATGTTGAGTAATTTATTTTGAATAATTTATTTAATTTACGGCACCCGAATTTAAAATAATTCAATCTATGCAAAGCGTATATTCATATAGTATTTAACTCCTTGTTTATTTCTCCATCTTATTATAATTACTTTTGGCGCTTTTTTTTAATTTATCCTATGCTACCGCAGCGCCACCCTTCTTGGACGCGATTTTACGGACATTTATTCATTCACGGAGATGGTTCTCCTTACCACTACACTCCATAATTATTATGAAACTAAATATTTCTATTATCCTTCCAAACAAATTAATCTATTATTTTTAAGGTTCCGTACCTGAAGGGTAACCAACGGGACCCTTACTAAGCCTCCGCTGTCTGTCCGTCTGTCAGCAGGCTGTACCTCATGATCCGTAATAGGTAGACAGTTGAAATTTTCACAGAATGTGTATTTCTGTTGCCGCTATGACAGCAAATAATAAAAATAAATTAAAAATTAAAGGGGGCTCCCCTATTAGAAACGTGTGTTACGATCGTACGGAACCCTTCATGCGTGAGTCCGACTCGCACTTGGCCGGTTATTATAAACGTAGTACCTACTAACCGTTTCAAATTGGATTTTCTGACCAGAGAGGAAACAGTGTAAGGAACTCTACAGATGTACTGTTCATGCGTTACATGACAATTTGAAAAGATTTAGATCTCATTACTATCAAATAATATATTAATAACAAACCCAGGATATGTAATAATGCTCCTTAAAGATAATTATGTTAATAATTTTAGAGAGAGTTTTATAATCTCATTCAACTAATCGAGACCGATGGGAAATGATGATTTGTATCACCTCAGGGATCGAATGTTGGTCCAGTTTTATTCTTGGTTTGAGATGATAAGTGTACATATTGAATAATCATACATGCACTAAAATAATTTCAATCACATAGAAGCTGTACCATATAATGAATACTCATTCGTTCATTACAGCCTATCAAAACTCCACTGCTGAACAATGTACTATTTTATGTAGGAGGCCCTCTGTCGCCTCTTAGTCATCCATTGTATGATTTGAGGTAGTGGATATTCTTTCACCGCCACTATACACCTGCATACGTAGATAGATTTAGAGAATAGAAGTTAGGTTGGATTTATCCACTTCTCATTTTTTTTTCATTTTATAATTTACTGAAGGTACGGCCTTAAACATTTTGATAACGTCAATGCATTCTACGATTGACACTCGTTTTACATGACGTTCATCGTAACGATCGCTTAGTCCTTCGTCTCGCAGTCACGGTACAAGAGTTTCAAATGATCCTTTCGTGATTGCTTGTTGAAAACCCAAGGCTAATTAAAAAAAAAAAGAAATTACAAGATCAACAAAAGCGTTTTCTATTGCCATTGCTTACAGGTTTGTAAAACTTGCAAAATGCTTGTCCTTTCTAGATGGTATTCGGCAACTGCGGTGTACTACATTGTCCAACGCTGGAAGGGAAAGGCTACGTGGAGATGACCTCAATAGACGCCGACACGTCTCATGACATCGTGGAAGCCATCGGTGGAAAAGGCGGCCGATACTTGGAAGCACAGGCAAGTGCTTTTTTATACCCGAAATATAAACGTGCGATAGTAGCTTTATTTCGTGTGGTGAGAGCAGAGACACTTTTGGAAACGAGACATTCCATCTTAGCCCACATGGGTGATAACGCATCTGCATTTTGATTCTTAATCGGAGATAGATGAAGAGATATATAGGCACTTAATACCAGGTAGACTGTGTGGCTGTTTGTTGTCCTTGCTTCTTCAAAAAAACAATTATTGAAGTTGATGACAAAAAACTCCTTAGGAATGATATCTTGATTACGGCATCATTTTCAGAATGTTGTTAAATGATCTCAACACAAAACGCATTGCATATTGTAGTGCCGAAAATGTACGCATAAACACATAATTACGCATAAATTGACTCACTTATTACTTATTTCCTATAAGCAGCTAGTTTTTCTTCAAAAATCTAGCTAAAGCATTTCTTTAACTTATACTGTCCATTATAATTTTAATCTAGTTCTATATTTTACCACAAATATATTGTTCTACCTATTAAAATTGTGTATATATATATCGACGGTGGAAAGGAAAAACACTTGAAGCGACACTTTGGTTGAAAATGAGTTATATACATATTTGAAATCAGCGATTTTTTCTGCGTCGATTGGTCTTAGTTTCGTGGCGATCCGACCACTTCGGTGTCGCTTAAAGTAATGACACATTTAGGCTCAATTTTTTTAGACGCTAAATGAAGTGACAATGAATTAAAGCAATTTTGGTCCATTTACCGCTTGAAGTACCGACTCCATAGTTAGATTATTATTTAATGTGTTTTTCTTTTTTTTGTTTCGGATATTATAGGTTACTTAAATCGTTTTTCTCCGTCATAGGAAATGTTATTTTAAACACTACATGTGTTTTTGCTTACTCCTATTCCGTTGGTGCTCAGTCGCTACATTCGTTTTTCCTTGCTTACCTTATATTTGTATGATGGAGTTAATGTGTTTTTCCTACATTATTATTATAGTATATTATGGATTTCAGTTGTTTTGGCAATCGCTTTAAAAAGCAGTGTTGTCGGTAAAAGTAAACATACACATAAAAACCACATAAATATTTAAATTAACCGACATAGTCTTTTATTCCCGAAACGTCGGTTCATTTAATTTCGCTAACTTCATAAATGAAGACGATAATCGGTTTAAGTAAGCATTGTTTACGATATTGTGTATTTAAACTAACTATTCAAAACAAGTCTTGTCGCTACAAGCAATGAATTTCGGTCTCTTTTGTGTAAGTGACGTCACCTATATTAGGAAATGATTGTGACGTGGCGCTTCATTCATCGGTCAATTGCCGTCGAGGCACAGCACGTTTCGTCGTATCGCGAACAGCAGTCACAGATAATGCGTGTTTTAGTAAAGGTAAGTACCTGTAAATACGTAAATTTTCGTGTTATCAATTTCAAGGCACTCCCCTTCTTACCTCAGCCAGTATCGGAATCCTCGGAGTCGACATATGGAGTGACGTGCAGTTTCGTGGTCACTTGGAAGAGAAGGCCAAAATCGGCCTCTAAAAAGCTTGGTGTGCTCAGCAGAGCGGGACAGTATTACATGCCGGCACACCGCCTGCAACTTTACAAGGCGCAGGTTCGGCCTCACATGGAATACTTTTTTTTTTATAGGATCGGGTGACAAACGAGCACACAGTCCACCTGATGGTAAGTGGTTACTGTGACCCATAGACATCTACATCTATCCTCAATAAAGACTCAAGATGCAGATGCGTTGTCACCCGTGAGGACTAAGATGGAATGCCTCTTTGCCAGAAAAAAAAAATTCATATAAAACAAAATCAACACATCTGCTTTAATATTTGGTTTTTAAAGTAGTTTCTAGATTAAAGATGTATATTATAAATAAAGTATCGCTAATACGCCAAGGCTTCGCACGGGTGAATTTTGGATCTTGACAACAGCGCAATCTACCGGGTCCAATTGTGAATCTAAACCATACAAACTGCAAAACTGTATTCTGTAAGAGAGTGTTCCTAATCCGCTCGAACCGTCCCATCCGTGCTGCAAGCATAATATAGCTGCAGCATGGCTCAACCACGTGGTGTGTTAGATGGACATCGTTCGTTTGTCACTTCCTTAAAAAAAAACCCTGGTTACCACCGTTCATACAGTTACAAGCGTCAATGTAACAACATAGAAATACATTGTTGGGGTAACACAACAAAACCCATTGTAATTCTTTTTTTTTATAGGATCGGGTGACAAACGAGCACACAGTCCACCTGATGGTAAGTGGTTACTGTGACCCATAGACATCTACATCTATCCTCAATAAAGACTCAAGATGCAGATGCGTTGTCACCCGTGAGGACTAAGATAGAATGCCTCTTTACCAGTAAAAAGGGTCTCCGGTTCTCTACACTCACCATACGAAACACAGCAGCGTTAAGCTGCTATTTTACGCTGGTTTTCTGTGAGAGCGTGGTCCTTCCCCGGTCGAGCCGACCCATTCGTGCTACAACCATAATATAGCTGCAGCATGGCTCTACCACGTAGAGAATACTGTTCCCATCTCTTGGCAGGGGCTCCCCAGTGCCAACTCCTTTCACTTGACCACATCCAGCGCAGAGCGGCTCGAATCGTCGACGACCGAGTCCTTTCCGATCGGCTCGATTCATTGGCACTGCGAAGAGATGCTGCATCCCTTTGCATTTTCTTTTGCATCTACCACGGGGAGTGTTCTGAGGAATTGTTCGGATTAATCCCAGCCGCCAAATTTCACAAACGCACATCGCGGCAGAACTCCCAATACCATCCACACCATCTGGATGATTGGCGGTCCACCACTGTGCGATTTAGAAGATGTTTTCTTCCTCGGACGTCTTCCTTGTGGAATCGATTACCATCAGCGATTTTTCCGGACCGATACGACTTAAGGACCTTCAAGAAACTTTACTTACCCGTTGAATTTAAAAACCAAAAAAAATTATATCGCATTTACAAGGATCAGAAAACTTCAGAATGTGTCGACGTGGGCAGGGAGAAAGTCTTTTTAAATATTTTCAAGAGTGAATTTAATATCGGATTTCGCGTTCCCAAAAAGTATAAATGCATAAAATGTATGAAATTTGATGCTTTAAATACTGAAGAGAGTAAAACGCAGAAAGAGGAACATCTGAAAGAAAAAGAAACCTGTAAAGAGAGGTACAGTCAACATCGAGAACTCGCCCAAAAGCGCAATGATGTAGTATGTGTGTCATTCGACCTGCAAAAGGTTGTAAATACTCCACATGGTGAGAGTATGCTCTTGTACTATTCACGAAAATATGCCATGTACAGTGTTTGCTTTTATGAAAATGGTACAAGAGACGGTTTCTGTTACATATGGGAAGAATCTGAAGGTAAGAGAGGAGGCAATGAAATAAGTTCTATTATACAAAAATACTATACATACAATTGATGGAAGAACGTGGCACAGTAAAACATCTAATACTATATTCGGATTCCTGCCCTGGTCAAAACAAAAATAGAATTGTACTGGCCGCCGTTCATAAAATTCAAATCTCAACGTGACGGCAGTTAAATACTTTATGCTACCTGATGCTGAAGAAGAAATTATATCTATAAACAAAGCTCCAACTTCACAAATTGTGAAACAGTTTTACGAGAAGTCTTTATCCAGTTACTGTTAATATGAATATTTGATAAAACTTTGTGAGAGTTTTGCCATACCAAGACTGTTTCACAACGAATGTGTTATTATACCTCACGTCGTTGGTATTGATACGTTAGCAGAAACAGATATTGAGGATGCTATTGATTTATAGTACAAGAAGCAACATCGAACCTTAAATTTGATAGTATGAGTATGTGATTTTAATGTTCCTATTAATCATTTAATTATGCTTGTTTTTTTAGATTTTACTTATAGTGCTAACAATGTTGATTAAGTCATTAGACTGAAATAGGTGCCTAATAGTGATTAGAAATATTTTTATACAGAATTTATATTTGTTAAAATCTCTATTTTTGAAAGTTGGGTTTATAAGTTCAAAGTACGTTTGCAATACAGAAACAAATGCCTAATTGTTTTGTTTTCACAATTTTACTTAGGTATACTTAGTGCTAGCAACGTTGACTAAGACAAGACTGAAATAGGTAGTAATTTGAAATATTTTGATACAGAATTTATGGCTGTTAAAGTCTCTAATAGTGAAAGTTTGTAAGTGTTAAGGTTTATAAGATCAATGTATGTTTGCAATACAGAAACGGTACGCTGTGTTCCTTGTTTATAATATTGTTTAATCACTCATGAAGATAGTAATGTTCTTACACTTCACTTCATGTTTGTTTTCCCATTGGAATGGGGTTTTTCAGTGTAAAATATTGTACCAGTAAGCGTTTAAAACAATAAAAGGCACTGTTTTATCTCTAATATAGAGATCCTTTTTTTTTGGTATCCTTGGGAAACAAAGTAGGGACTTGAGTTAAAAATACAACATTGAATTATTAGATAGCTAATGCATATCGTGTTTTTCCTCTACTGAGCATATTAGGGTTTTGTTAGTTAATTCGTTTTTCCACAACCATGTATCTTATGCTCGATCGTCTTAAGTTGTTTTTCCTCCTAGTTATATCATGCATAGCTTGTTACTTCATGTGATTTTCCTAGCGTTTGTCAAAGTACTGAATTGGCATTTAATGTGTTTTTCCTTCCGCTATATTTGCCAAAAAATAATTAAGCGACACGTAAATCCTTTCATCATGCTAGCATATTTTTCTAAGTTTAATAGTGGACAGTTAATAAAAAATAAAGAAACTGTTTTTTATCTTGTCGCTCTAACTTCAAATTTAAATTTATTATAATTTTTTTTCGGAAAATTAAAACTTTGATCGGCTCTACTGCACAATATCAAAATTGTCGCTTCAAGGGTTTTTCCTTTCCACCGTCGATATGATATCGTCATAATGTGTTATTTTAGTACATCACTCTCTTACATTCTCATTATCTAAATGTCGCTTGCATGAAAATATTTTCGAAGCGATATCGCCTTTTGTACAATCTTAATGTCGGAAACTTTATGTTTATTATTTCTATATTGGGATAAATAATATATTGATTGAGTGACTCATCCTTAACTACCCGTATCTACCGTTTCCTCTCACATACAGTCTCAACCCTTTCGTTGTCGATTTAACACTTATTCGAACCAAACGGTTTGCTAAATCGTTCGTCATACTTACATCAAAGGAGTATAATAACTTGCCAGCATCAGTCTTTCCATCCGATTACAGTCAAAGCAAGAGTGAGTAGACTTTTGTTAAATCAGTGCGCTTCACCATCTTCAGCTTCATCACCACTTACCATCAGGTGTAATAGTATTTAAGCACTGGCTAAGAATAGCAGTAATAAATCGGAGGTAGGTTTGGATGCAGTAGGCTCAGATTTATAACACTTCGAAATTGCAGTCATAGTTGCCTTAAATAAATATTTATCATAAATCTGAAGCGAAGCCGGTGCTGAAAGTGTGTGATAATTTACAGATCCAGGGCTCGAAGACGCAAGCAGAGGAGGGCACGCTTATCATCCTGGCGGCGGGCGATCGCTCGTTGTTCGACGACTGCCAGTCCTGCTTCAAGGCCATGAGCAAGAACTCCTTTTACCTTGGTAGTAGTGCGCGGCTCCAATTCTTTGGGAATTCGTGCTTTTATCGAAAAAAATAATTTCTTAGACCTAACGACGCTGTGGCGGTCAACAAATGGGGATATATTTTTAATTTTCCTTGCCTACGGTGTAAGAATATTCACTACCCCATAATTATCATCCCGTGGGTGTCGTAAAAGGCGACAAAAAAGGAAAAAAAAGCAGGAGATGGGCAGCAGCGTCTTTCTCATAACGACTAAAAATAAAAAAAATCAATTGCTCACGCGCTTGCCAAGCGTGGCAACTATGGCAAATATCCCCCCTATGCATCAATTTATAGCGGAGGTCTGTGTTCAGCAGTGACCTTTAATAGGCTCTTAACAGCCTCCCAAGTCCACGGCTGTACATGGGCCTACCCCGTTGTAGGGAGAGGTCTTGCTTTTTTTTCATGGTTTGCAGAAGAATAGACTGTAGTCTGTTCGCTTAGATACAGTCACCTTTGTGTCGTGCCGCCTGGACATATGCCGCTTCTTGTCAGAGGCGTCATCGCGACTTCAAAGGTCGCCGCATGTGGAGTACGTCCTAAGGAAAATTCAGCATTATAAAAGGAAACGCCGTAGTGAAAGGTTGTTTTTGTTGAATCTCCTACGTATACATAAAATGTTTGTTCATTTTTGGAAGGACAATGAAGTGCCTCAAAATGAAATTTTGAGTGAACCAATAATAAAAATACTATTTTAAAACGTGATGACGTTGAATGCCTTATTATAAATATAGGTGGCAAAGACCGACACTTTGAGTGATAAAGAGCAGTGTCTATTTTACTTTCGTTTATGTTTACCTACCTACTCATATTTTTCATTTAAATTCTCTTTGCTACCTAACTTGTGTTTATTATTTATATTCGTATTTTATTACAAGAACCATAAGAATAAAATAGTATTCTAATTTATTCGTAGATTAGAAAAACATTTATTTAACAAACACAGTGAAATATAATGAACTAAAAGTAAAATAATAAATGCGCCTCCTGGCGTACCGACACTATCTTATTGAATAGACTATATCGATGTACAGAACGTCTCGCATTTTTGACGCTGCATCAATATATTTATATCAGGCTTTAACGGGATGTTTATTGACTATTATTACTGGTTGACATATCGAATATTAGTGGTTGGTTTTAATTATATTTTTCACGTGAATTTTGCAAACGAAAATCTTTATAACAGTCCACGTGATAGTAAGTGGCTACTGTTGTCATGCAAGCACTGCTTATTGGTGGCAGAAATATGTAAAAGAATAGTACCTACCTAGACGAACTCCTAGGTAGTAAAGAAATACTACCGCCTAAAAAAATCCTACTTCATCATCATTAGAAATTAAAATTAGTACACAGACCTTTTCGGGTTTTAATGGTATATGTAGAGTATGTAAGTGCATATCTAAAAAATTAAGGATAAACTGAATCAACATAATATTACGAGTATAAATGGGGATGAACTTTATCTGTGAGATACGTTTTATCTATACTGCAATATTCCCGCGCAAATATTTCCAAAGGTAGTTGTAACACTATATAGATCTAGACCGATAATATATTATAGATTTTTAATACTATAGTCGGATCGGGCGCGTTAACTGTGCGGGCCAGTTCCCTCGTTATACGTCGTTAGTAAGCACATTGTTAACGAGTTGAGACTTACCGGACTCTTTATACTTATTTAGAGTACATTGATCGCATCACAGTGTATATATTACAGTTAAAACTCGTAACCGATCAAAACCACTTTTGACTGCAAAAATCAGGCAAAAGTAGTTTTGACTAAGGGGTTTGGTCAAATCTACTTTTTAATGTTATATACATATATTTCTATATACTCTAATATTTACTCGTATGATTAGACTATTTGCGTCTCATAAAACCACCAATCTTGCAATATCTGTGAAAGTAGGTTAAGGTACGGCTGGGGTGGCCCTCTGGCAACCTTAAAGCCGCGTACATTATAGTGATATAATCGTTAACCATAAATAAATTAAAAGAATTGAACTAAAACGTTGGTCAAACCACTTATAACTGAGAACGATGGTGAAAACATTTTTGATTACATAAATCAGTCAAAACTGTTTTTGACTAAGGGCAGCGGTCAAAACCATCTGCGTGATTTTCTCAGTCAAAAGTCGTTTCGACCAGTTATGAGTTTTGACCGTAACATATATAATACAGTAGGACTATCTAGAACTATGACGGCTCTGTGACGCAGTGGCTTAGCAATGAGTTTGCTGCGCTGGGGGCCGCGGGTTCGAATCCCGCACGGAACAAGTATTTGTATGCCTACATGTTGCCTGATGTTTGTCCTTGTGCAATTTGTGTTTGTAAACTGCCTCCACGGTACAGGAGAAAATCCTAGAGTGGGGGTAACGTTTTTTTAAATGAAAAACAAAAAAACAGAAAATTGCTGTTTGTAATTCATTTATTTTAGCTGTTCTGCTGTCATACAAACCTTACAATTATATTCTGTCCGTCTGTCCTAATGTATCTTTCGATTTCATTCACAAAATTTAAAAATCAAAGTTAAGACAAACTTGGATAACATTTAGACGGGAAATGCATAACTTAATTCATCTCCCTTGCACCATCGGACAACCAGACGCTCAGCCCGTCTCCCTTTTGTTGTTGATTTACCACGCATTCGAACCAAACGGTTTGCTACATCGTTCGTCATGCTTATAGTGAAAGAGTGGAATAAGTTGCCAGAATCTGTTTTTCCATTCAATTACATTGTGGGTAGGCAAAAGTGAATAGGCTTTTCTTAAGTCAGTACGCTTCACCATCTTCGGCTACATAACAACTTTACATCAGGTGAGATTGTAGGTAAGGCTGGCTTAGAATAGAAAAAAAACTCATAGATGGGTGGAGGCAGTAGAGTCCAAGGGGGAGACCTTGGTGGTTAGTTTCCTACAAGCTTTTCAAAAAATTATGCAATTGGATCTCAGTTTTCTTGCAAATCGAAGCATCAAGGGCATAGTGAACTATGGCCTTGATGCTTGATGAACTTAATGTTGTACAACCAACAAGACTTCAATAGAAATTATTAAGGATAACTCAAAAACTAGTGGTCAGACATGGATCAAATATATTATAAGGGACCACATGAGCATCAACAGTTTTGAAATAAAAAAAGAATAATTATAATCGGTTGACCTGAAAAAAGTTATGAGGTAACAAACATAAAAAAACATACAGTCGAATTGAATACCTCCTCCTTTTTGAAGTCGGTTAAAATACAATACGATTTCGATTTTGACCAGCACAAGTATCCGACCATAATCTAAATCCTTTAGTACCGTCCTTTATTTTAGCGTCAATAAATTTAAGAAAACAACTAGCAACTTCACATGCGCCATGTCTTCCATCTACCATTATCTCAGGCTACATTTAACAATAGAATAAAATAGAATAATTTTATTCAATATTGATTACAAGTAATTCTTATTGAAAGTATTTTTTTACATTATCACTGGTTCGAAAAAAATCCTCTGTCCTGGGAAGAACCAGCAAGAAACCCAGCGGAACTTTTTTTAAATAGACTTTACAATATAAATGATTACAAACTATTTACAAAATTTATTTTAGAAACAGCTTGGAAGCGACCATCTCATTTCCAGGGGTTATTATCAACCATGGTATTCATTTATATTATAATAACCCTTTTTATACAGTTTTTGTTCAATAAAATATTTAAACTTGGTAATAGAGAGACTATATTTTCTGGGACTTTGTTGTAATAGCGTATACATTGCCCCAAGAATGAATCACTGACTCTACGGAGTCGGAAAACTGGTTCTGTTTGTTCCTAGTGTTTACAGAGTGTATATCACTTTTTTACTTTCTTTGTTTTTGTAAACATACATTAAATTTTCGTTAATATACTGAGAGGCCAAAGTTAATATATTTATTTCTTTAAATTTTTTTCTAAGAGACTCTCGGTTTAAGATTGTTAATAGCTTTTATGGCCCTCTTCTGCAACACAAAAATAGTTTCTAAATCAGCCGCATATCCCTTTAGTAAGATCCCACAAGACATCATGTTATGGAAATAACTGAAATAAATTAATCTAGCATTCTCGACACTAGTGAGATCTCTAATCTTTTTTACAGCATAAGGTGCAGAGCTTAGTCTGCTTGCTAGTTTGGATTTATGGGGACCCCACTGAAACTTTGCGTCGAGAGTGATGCAATAAAAAACAGAGGATTCAACGGGGCTCATATCACATTGGTATTCAGAATTTTAACATTCGTTGTTGTAAATTTAATACATTTAGTTTTATTGCCGTTTAAATGCAGATTATTAACGTTAAACCAATGCACTAATTTTGATATAGAGCCCTGAGGGACACCCATCATTACGGACGACCCGGAAGAACTTTTACCATTGATAATAACTTTCTGCATTCTGTTACTTAAATATCAAATAACAAGTTTAAGCGCCTTATTCTTGGCACCATAGTACTGTTAGCTTCCTGATTAATGTCTCATTGTGAACACAGTCGAAGGCCTTGGAAAGGTCACAAAATATACCCAAAGCATCCTCCGAATTCTCCCATGCACAAAAAATGTGTTTTATGTTCGACTCCGACTAGTCGAGCCCCCTCTTGTAAAACCGAATCGATTTTTATGAAGCAATTTCAAATTTCAAAAATTTTACTTAATGTTGGTAGTACAGATATTGGTCTAAAATTGACGGGGTCTAATGTACTACCAGATTTAAATAAAGGTATGACTTTACTATGTTTCATTAGATCAGGAAACACACCAGATTCGACACTTGTATTAAAAATTGTGGCTAGATCCTTATCTATCTAGCCACACTATCTATTATAGACGCAATAACTTTAACGGAAATCCCCCATAAGTCTGCAGGTTTCTTAACATCAATAGTTTTATTATATTTAACGAGTCTTTTGGCAATACTCTATGGAATTTAAAAGTATTTAAACAAGGCTTCACGTTTTGTTTAAGCA